AGATGACCTTCTGATTTGGGTGCCATCAACAGCCATTCTTGTTACTTTGGTGCTTCCACACCTATTCAATCCCAATTCACACCAATCAAGGTTTCCATTGCAATTCTCAACAGAAGTAAAGACAGGACTGAAGGGCCTTGTCCATTTTAGTTTTGAATGTCTCCAGTGATGGTGGAGGGTTCACAAACCCTCTGGGCAGTGACTTGCAGTGAAGAATGCACTCATACGCCCGTTAGCTCTTTCACCATTCAGGGGGCAGATCCAAGACAACCTCTCATACCAAGCACATTGCTACCCCACATACAAAGCAAACACATGATAAGGAAAGTTTTCAAAGCCACACAAGGAACAGTAACTTTGAGAAGTTTGACAGGCATTGACATCTACCTGTGGTCAGTACAGAGCACAGAGTTGCTCTAGAGAAACAAAGCCAGCTGAATACCCACTTGGTTTCCATAATCCCCAACTAAAGAATACGTGCTTGGAAATGTTGGCTACTGCTATATGATTTACTAAATCCTCCCTCAGGCTGTTTGGCAGATGACATTTTGCCTCTTACCTACATGGAACTGCCAGTTGTGTCATAGCTTGGGGTCTAGTAATCCCTGAGGGTGGCAACCTCCTCTCTACCTCTAAAATGAGGCTGGCCTTTAAGGGAGAGCCCTCAGTTTTAGCAGAGGCACTTAGTGCAATTTCCATATGTGTGTCTTCATCTTTAGGATTCTATTCTCGGCACTGTGAATGAACACCAAAAGAAACAGACAAACGAAATTGACTGCTGAGTACTTTTGTTTGAATCACACATGAACTGCAATGTCAAATAAAGATAAAATTTATGTGTACATATTTGAACACAAATGATCACATTTTCAGGCATTTTTCTTAATAAATTACTTTTTTGATTGTTCTGATTTTCAAAAGCAGGTCTAACATACAGTCCATTTTCCAGGGACTGTGTGTTGTTGAAGGATAAAGTGTGTTGCTTCACACTTTATCCTTCCATACTTCTAAATCAGTTACTATATATTGGGAAAAATGCAAGATAATTGCAATTTTCACATTGAAAATGAGCACTACTATATCTTCATAAAAGAAAGCATAACAGGTAAAATATTTTTGCTGGTGACTGTTGTTCAACTGGAATAAAACACTGCATTTCTGAAAATGCAGAAGAAAAGAAGTGAAAATGTTCAAGGACAGTTTGGATGGGGCTTTGAGCAACCTGGTACAGTGGAGGGTGTCCCTGCCCTTGGCAGGAGGGTTGAAACTAGATGACCTTTGAGGTCCCTGCCAACCCGAACCATTCTGCGATTCCATGAAAAGTAGCTCAATATATTTCTTTGAACATTACATTAATAAAGTAATGATTTAACCTACAGGTGGCATCTGTAGAATAATTTTATCTACCATTTGAAGAAAATTTATCAGTCGTAGTTATGCTCTACAATCAGTACTTGAAAGGGAGTGACACATACAAACACAGACATTCCCTGCCTGTAAGCCCGCTTCACCAGAGGACACAAGATGTCTCTATTGAAAAGCTGATTCAAGACTGAAGAAAAGAAAGGTTTAACAGAATTACCAGGGAGTTACTTAAATAAAAGAGAAGCTTCGTTTAAAAAATTTAAAGCTGGGACACAATGCCATTATCACAATGCCGTGTATTAATTATTATGTTTGCTCTTTCCGGCCTGTCACAATGATGAACAATAATGATTGCACAGTGTGAGACATTCACCAGTTAGCTAATTCACCCAGTCTAGGCAAGGGATCAAAGATGTTTCTATACTGTCTGTTCCTTAACAACAGCCCTTTTTGGTTCCAAATATAATGAAAAGAAATCCTAGAACTGGAGTGACTCGTGCACATCTTGCCTGTCAGAGCCTAAAAGCCAGCTCTGGGAACACAATCGCCACAACTCTAATCTTTCCAGGGCAGCTGACACTGTGGAGAGGCAGAGAGCGATCTATGACTTCAGTTGCCTTCCTCTCAGCCCTCCAGTGGACCATCTCTAGTGTGTTAGTGTCAGTGCCATTCTTTGCTTGTGTGAAAGAAACATCGGGGGAAAAAAAACAATCCAAGTTTCATGGACATCTGGAGTTGTACACAGGAAGTGAGCTTTGTTAAGTGTCCTTGCTGGAACCAGTGGGTTTAGCTGAACAGACCCCCAATATTTGCCCATTTCCTATCAACACAATTCCCTGTGGTTTCCCCATTATCACTTTGCTCATCAGTGAATGTATGATGCTTGCTGTTTGCTGCCTGGCACACTGCATTTCTTTTTGCAGATGGGTGAATAACCATTCATATCTCTGACTAGAGTCTTTCTTTTGCTAGATATGCAACTGGATTTGTGTGAGGCAGCTGCTCAGTATTTGTGTGCCAGTTAGAGTGGCCTAGTATGTCATGGTGGACAAATGACGTCAGTTCTGGAGCAGGCTTCACAGGAACTGTGCCACGGCTTAGTGCTATGAATGCTGATGAAATTGCTTTCCCAAGATTTGTTTCTTCTCTCAGAACAATATGATCTTGCAATATATGAGTTCAGTTTGATTTTTTTCTGTAAGTCTTTCAGGTTTTGCACATTGTCTGAGCGCTCCGCACTCCTTCAGTGTATTCTCTAGAAAATTTGATATAAACATTTCAGTGTGTACCGGTAGTGCAAAAGTAGGTATTTTAACAGACATACTGTCAGGGTAGAAATTCATTCTCATCCACATGTCAGTCCAGAAATCCCACTCATAATTCATATTTCTTCCTGAAAGACCCTTAGCTTTCATATTCCCTACCATAAAAAAGCCCAAACCAAAACAAACAAAACCCCCCACAAAACCCAGCAAACCACTTCAATCCATTGTGACTCAAAACTGATGCCAAATAATATTAATCTCCTTCTCTGGAATTTTCTGACATACCCTACTTGTTGCACTTCTTTCTGTTTAGACACTATATTGTGCACAGGAAAGTTCATATTATTGTGTCTTGTCCATGAAAGGTATTGCTAACGTTTGAACAACAAATAATGAATTGAATCCATCAGCTATGTTCATTACTGTAACACACACATAAACATTTGAATTTTAATTTTATGCATATACAAACATAAAAGCAAATGTTCATTGACGTTGCCCTTTGTCAACCCTCCAAACATCCCCAAACAAATGCAACTCTTCAAACATGATCAAAGAAGCTCTGGGCCAGCAGTAACAGGGTGATATGAACCTGACTTTTCAATACAAACAGCTGTGTGCTGATCACTGTGTATTTTTTATTTCCCAGGAGTTATTATTTCTCACAGCATTATTTCTTGCTTCTTTTTGCTGTTTATCTCTGCTTTGGCTAACACTGCTGATGTGTGAGCAGCAAAATAAAATGTATAGGACAACTCTTTGGAAGACCTTTAAAAAAATTAAAATCTGTGTTCCAGTGAGGTTGGCTTTCTTCACTCATGCAGGATCAAAAGTGAAATAAAGGGGTGAAAAAACTAAGGATAGAGACATAATACTGCTATTGAAAGGGGTGCAAATAGGTACAGCATAAAGGAGGAAGCATCGACTATGCAGCAGGATTGTTTATTACAAGTTACTATTTTACAGTCAGTGGACAGATACTTCTTTTTTGGACATGAATTATGTCCACAGTTGCACTTTACTGATCATACTGTGTGAAATTGTTTCTCTTCCTAGAGCAACAGGCAAACAAAAAGTGACAGGGCTGAACTTTTTGTACAGTAATTTACAGCACTGTATGCAGAAAATTTCCACACATGTATCTGTGATGTCAATTTATACCCTTGGTCTGGCTGGCAAATATAAATATACATGTACATATATTTGCATAATTTTAAACATTCTAGCTCTCCTGAGAAGGTAGCGTGTATAAATGTGTGTCTGCACATGTATGTGGACTAGAACTACAGAGAATTTACCCTCTCAAGAGACCTACAGGATTCTGAATACACACATATGCACTATATGAGCTATCTATATAAATGAGTAAGGGAAGCATCATATTAATATTATTAAAACTGAAAATTAATTAAAAAACTGACAGAACTGACATTTCTTTTCATGAATAATTCTACTTTACTGAAACAGAAAAATAGGCAGATGACTTAATTTTCAACACAGCATGAAGTTCAGAAGGCTGTTCAATTTGTTCATAGCCATATCTGAATATCAAAACTGCATTTATATAAGAACCATGCCAGAAAGTTTCTTCCTATGTGTAATTGTGATATGCTTCCCTCCCCCCAGTCCCAAAGTCAATGAGAATTCATATTTTAATAAATCTATGTCAATATTCGCTACCGAACCCTTACATTTACACCAGTGAACACACTGAAAACTATCCTCAAACCCTAAAACCCACACTTCAGCAAGAAGCAGATGTTTTGGCCAAGTTACAATATATTCATAAAAACAATTTTCTTAATGCAAATGCTGCCAGATCCATTACCACAGCACACTACTGTAGGACAAACTATCTTGGGAGATATACCAGGGAAAGGTAGGGAGGCACAACTGCACTTAATGTTTCTCTATTTCAGGCTTATAAAATGCTTTAACTTGCCTGTTAGATGGCATAGCAGTCATGTAAGAAAGTTTAATTTATTCTTCAGAAACAGATGACACAAAATTTACCGGAAACTTGGTTCCTTTGGGATTTTTGTGGGATTCATCAATATGCAATATTATTACATCATTTTTACATCACTCGCACACCATAAATTTTCAGCTCTGACTTGCTCTTTGCAACTCTTGCAAGAACTGTTTCTCTATTTTCCCATCCAAGAAAGCATTCTTCTTCGGATCCCTACCTGAGCACATGTACAAGTCTCTATATGCTTAAGTTTCACTGAAAGTAGATGTATGCTTAAGTGTGATCCTATTGTCTTAAGACGATATTTTATATTCTAGGATATGATTTGGCAAAATACAACATATAAAACAGAAGTGTGATGCTTGAGAAAGTATTTTGGTGAGCTTCCAGGGACTTACCTGCCAGCTGCCAAGCTGGCTTATAGTTTTAGGCTCAATCTATTCATCCATCCATCACCAAAAGGTCTGAATGACTGATAACAAAAACAGATGAATCATCGATGGTATGCTTTCTGTTCTCTCTTTGTCCTGTGGGAGACATGGTATTTGACAATTAAGTTTAATATTTCAGGCTAAGAAAAACTTACAGTATAAACAGGGCAGTTTTACCTTACTGGATAGATACTCGTACCTAATTTTTAAAAGATAGAGTGGGCTAGAAATGAAATTTTTCATTGTTAGCTGATCTTTAAAAGAGCAGGTACTCATGCCTATCATTTTGAGTGTAAAATACCACCTAATGGCCATTGAAGAATAACATAAGCTATACAGTCAGAAGGTGCTCTCCTTTTTGGTCTTTTCACATAGACCTGACTAGTAAGATCATATTTCATTTCCATAAACAAGTGTTATTCAAAGAGTCAACTTTGAGCTTAATAGCACAAACATCAAGGACTTAATCTCAGAGACATATTGGAAGGAAAAGACAACTTCTGGTCTGCCATGGAGATGCCAGAGAAGAAAGGAGAAATACATTTGAATCTTAAAAAATTCAGAGAGCACTTCCAGCTATCAACTTTTCTCAAGTGATACAAATAAAATGAGGAATTAAGAAAATTCAAAAAGCATTTCTCTTTAATATTTAAGAACTTTCTAGCTGCATTGTTACCATATCAGATCGCTATAGACAAAGTTATGACCATTCACATAAGCTGGGTAGATTAAAATTCACAGCCTAAAATTCACAGCATGTAGATTAAAAATTCACAGCCTTTTCTCCACTAATACCTGCTAGAAGGGATTATCCAATAGGTATGTTTTAAATGAGAGGCTGAGAACTAGGCTAATAAATTTTTTCACCTTTGGACTTGAAGGAAATATAAAATAACTTCTGATAAATTGTATAGATTACACAAAAATTTGGCAGAAAATTAAATATCTAAGAGGACAGGATTATTTAGCAAACTGGGCTCATTCAAACAAAATGCACCTGAATACAACCAGATACAGAGATTGGAATTATCAAACCAGTCCTTGAGAATGGGAAACAATTTAATGGAAAACAAATAAACTGAAAAAATACAAAATCATAGAATAGAACGGTTTGGGTTGAAAGGTACCTTTAAAAGTCATCTAGTCCAACCCCCTTGAAATGTGCAGGGACATGTAGAAGTCACAGAGGACAAATCATTGAGTGCCAGATCATGGCAACATGGATTTAGCAACATGGGATAGTTGAGGACGGAAACATAGCTGGGTTCTACCTCTACATACCATTTTATGCTGCAGTGAAAGTCAGACTAAGATATTTTGTACAGTTCTGATGTTCACATTCTATGAAGGACATTGAACGACTGGACAGTCTCTCACAGAACAGTGAGATCAGTCACAAAAAAAATATTCAGGAGCTGAATAAAACTCCTTCATGTGAAGGCTTTAAAGAGCTCAATCTGTTTAGTTTGCCAGAGAATGAGAGGCAACTTGATTACAGGAATAAAGCACCAGGTACAAAAGCGCTCTTTGATTTAGTGGACACAGTAAAATGTCTGTAATACGCTGAAAACAAATCCAAGAGCATTACAAAACATCAGCATTCCAATGAATATATGTATTGCAATACAGTTTTAGTCATACAACAGCACATCATTTTCTGCCACAGGAAGCTTCATTGAGTGTGTAGTATAGTCGGTTATTTAGTGAATGCTTTGTTTTATTCTCATTGTTTAATTTGTGGCCCTGCAATTCATTCATTGTACTATGTGAACCCAGCACCAAACACATCATTGTTCACTTCTTTTTACTTTCATTTAGTTGTCACTTTAACAGCATACAAGTATAACTCAATGAACTACAAAAGATCCAGGAAGATAAAAGCCCTCATTACACACACGTTATACAACAGCCCACATGGTGATTCAAATACTACCCAAAATTTCTGCTTAAGGTGTTTACAAAACTCTAGCTAAATAAACTACATGTTTGCAATAGCCGTAGATGCACTGGTAAGCCTTAACAAGCTTTTTTTCAAGAGTTACTTGGAGGAATTGTTTGAAGAGTGAAAAGCCAGTATCAGCTTGAGTTTTGAGTAGGTTTGTTTTCAACAGAGAATACTACTATGGAAATACTCCAGGTCCCCCATCACGTATTGGGAGACAAATGGCTTCTGCAGGTTCTTGGTAAACATCTCCAGGGTACCTCCTCAGCGGTCAAGCCATACTTTCACATAAAAAGCTGTGCCACAGCAGAAGCTTCAAGGTCAGATGCTTTTTCAAGCAGACTCTCATCACTGCTTGTGAGTCACCAAGGGGGGAATATTTTCTTTCCGTTCACAAGAGAACATCTCTTGCCTGAGTACATCCATCCGAAATGTGAGTTTTCTTTCTTTGTCATGAACTGCCTGCCAAGATGAGTTCCCCTGCCTGGAACACCACCTGCCCTGAAACTATTATGAAAAGGTTTGGGTTTCTGGACCAACACCCTTTGCCACAGATATTGCCAATGAAGCCTGGAAGGCTTACAAAAGGGGGTCTAAAAGAAGCCTTCAGCACCTCACTGGGCCATCCACTGTGAGGAACTAATGCACACAGTCTAATACCTACGGACTTTCCTGTCTGGGTCTCCACTAGCCTGTCCCTTTCCCTTCTCAACTTGACTCCTCCTACCAGTCCCAGGTAACTCTCCCACCATGCCCCTTGACTCCAGGGCTACATCTCCATCATGGACCGCACATCAAACCCCACCTTGTTCCTCACTGCAGCTCTATATACCTTCAGGTTTTCTCAAATCCAGATTGTCACATCCCTTTCTTTCCAGCAGGCTGCCATTTCTGCAAATAACTTGGGCAATTCCTAATTAAGATAGGAAAGCTGAGAGATAAAACAGTCTATTCCATTTCTTTCCCCAATTTCTGAATATGGCAACACCAGTGGTAGTAATCTTTATAGATGCCATTTTCAAAATGTGATACATATCTACAAAACACCTGTGAACCTGAGTCTTTCAGGGAACTACAACTTTGTAACACTTTGGTTAAATTTCCTGGAAATGGCAAGAAGTATCAGACAGAACCTAAATGAATTTGAAGTCTGCTCAACACTTCAGAGATAGAACATCTCAGGTTTTCACACTACGTGGACTAAACTTTAACTGCTGCTGTGTTATTTGAACTTTTACTGAATGTTTATGTTCACTCATCTACAGTGGAAAAGATAAAATGGGAAAAGGAAAGGTATGCTGAATTATGGCATTGATTATGCCTAAAATCCTGCTACATCGTCTCTGCAGGAAAAACAAGCTGAATGAAACACAGAGGATTGGATTTTAAAAATTTTAGAGCTGTAGTAGGTTAAAAGCTGCACATATTGCACTTCATCTGTCTTTGCAAATGACTTTGAAACCTAAGGTACATTTTGAAGAGGCTTGAGCTCTTTGCATCTTACCACAGCACTCTCACACTTGCAAATGTTTTCTTTATACTAGAAAGTCACAATTGTTGTGCGTTATACACTGTGACACATAAGGTGCATATCTGTCCATACTATATTACTGTCAGAACAGCAGTTTATATTGGATAGGTAACGCTTCAGCACACAATGTATGCAAAGGCCACAGGAGAATTTCCTGAGCTTTGCTCTCCAAGGATCCCTAATACTCCTTAGCAACCTGTCTGGAAGGACTGAAATCACAACCTCTAGGCAGCAGTCCCTGTATATTTGAAATAGTTGCCGGCTACAGCAAGCACATGTACATCTCCAGAAAAAAAAACATTTAACAGCGAGTCATCACACCTAGGATATAGACAAACATGTTAAACTCAGACTGAGGACAGCAAGAGGAATACTGGCAAACAGACCCCTGCAGTGGCCTTATATCAGTGCACAGAGTCCACAGCTTTAGAAAATGCTTTCATGAGAATTTCAGAACAGGCTTCTTATAAACCCAGTGTGGACTGAAGAACATCAGAAAGGTGTGAAATAACTGAGAGATCTTAGCCTGAGAGACTAAGATCTAATTGTTAGAACAGTTTAGACCATCAGAAACCCTTATGCATGTCAGGCTCTATTATGGGATGTATTATCTGTACTGAATTATTGTGTTCTTTCCTGATACTGTCTCAGCTGCTACATTGGTTTTACCTCTGATAAACTTCATCTAGTGGAGTTTGCAATTGTTCCACAAGGAACAATTTCAGGACTGAAATGCCACTTGTTAGCGTAACTATATATATTTTACTTATCCCTTTTGCCTTTAAGGCAAGATCGTATTGAGTTTTGATATTTCTCATTCTCTGCATGCAGCTAAGGGAGTAGAAGTGTCCGGGTCTTTATTATACACAGCTGACCTTTTATTTCCTGCTAGGTGCATTCAATTTCAGATAGCCCAGAGTATGGTCTTGAAATGCTATTTTCCATCATGCTAAACTCATCTGAGGTCTCCATTTTTACACATCTAACAAACTCAAGAGTTTTCTTTCCAGTGTTGCATGGAAAAACAGAGGTCGTTCAGAAGGTTATGACTTTTTCAACAGAACAACTGTTGTGACACTTTGGAAAACAGCAAAGGATAAGCACTTATAAACACTGGGCAAACCACTGCAATGAACATATCTGAGAAATTCCACCCTTTTTTGTTGTTGTTGCTGTTTTTAAAAAACTACATCTGAATTCCACTGCATCTACCACTACATTACTAGTTTAAATTTTATATTGAGAAATGTTTCAACTTTATTAAGCCTCATTTAAAACTTAATTTCATTTATACATCCTCTGCAAGAGAAGCCTGTCTCCATTTTCTATGCTACTTGTATTCATGATTACTGAAGATTGCTGTATCTTCTCCTTCCACTATTTTCACATCATTTACTTAAATGGTATTGGTAGCTCCACTTAACATTTCACTTATATGCTTCTCAAACTTCTTCCAGTCAACGCGTAGCCTTTGAGTTCTGATGCCCTGATACTGCCTTATGCATAGAGTTTAAGATCTCTAATAATTTGATATTTAGATTACATATTACCTAAAATGTCAATTCTTGTCCACCCACTCAATAACTATGATAGCCACTCTCCTCATCTCACATACTATTTCCCTTTTCCCCCTTGTTCACATTCAAGAAGATTCCCATCTAGAATAGCTGCTGGCTGCATACAAGTCACAGCACAATTTTGCCTTGCCTCGCTATCTAGTTTATTTCCTAAATCACTCAGCAACGAACCATAATGATTGCTCCTCAGGACCTCATCATGCAGGGTCAGCCGTTCTGTTATCACTGGGAAGTTCCTTTGAATTTTAAACTTCTGCTGAAATGCGTGGTTATTCTTACAGCCAACTACTATTCGGATGTTATTGATTGCAGCCACCACAAGCGTTGCTCAGGCAGATGACCTGCTAATGACCTTCCCATCCACTCTGATATTAGTAGGTGAGGACTGCTAATTCTTGCCTAACCTTGGCTGCACGAGATAAGCAAATGTTTATCACCTCTACCATCTTAGACTCTGAAAGCTACACTCATTTTACCTAAAACCCTTCGGTACACTTACTCCTAGAAACAAGCAGCGATTTTTCTTGTTTATGTATAATACCAATCCTTTATAAATTTTTTTTTTCCAAGTGGCGCATTTTAAAACTATTATCCTATTTATCATTACTTCATAAAGCTGAAGAAATGAAACTTTGCAATCCCAAAATTTCCAGGTGGTCATTTTTTTATATATATACCACCACCACCAAAACTATTATTATCGTTATTATTATTATTATTATCATCATCACCATCAAGGGATAACCTTAAGGGACGAGGAGAAGCGCTGTCCCCGGTGTAGAGGGCGAGCCGAGCCCACTGGTTGCCTCCCGGGGCGCGGAGCCCGCCCGTGCCGTCCCCTCCCGCCGCCGCCGCCCCGGCCAGCGGGGGGTACCCGGGGGGAGCCGCACCACCGCCGCGGCCAACTCGGGAAGGGGCCGCCCGGGGCGTACCTGCGGCTCCCCTCCCGCACCCCTCCCCGCTGTCCATCGGTTGCCACAGACGCGAGCAGAGGGAAGGACGGACGGACGGACGGACGGACGCCTCCCCCTCTCCCCCGCAGCCGCCGCCCGGCCCGCGGGGAGAGACCCTGCTCTCCGCCGGCGGCAGGTCCCCGAGCCTCTCCGCCGGGCATCCTCTCGCCCCGTACCTGTCGCGGTGTCCTCGGGAGAGGGATCCGCGTCCCCCCGCAGCCCCGGCGCGGCAGCGGGCGGCCGGGCTTTGTTACTACTCGGAAGAGCCTCGGCTCAGCGCCGTCGCTATAGAAACTGGCTGCGCCTCGAACAGACACCGGCGAGTGGCGGGAGGGAGGCGGGAGCCGGGCGGAGGTGTGGGGTGAGGAGAGAGCCGTTCATTCAGGAATATCTTGGCCTTTTCCTCCTCCTTCGCCTCCGCCTGCAGCCAGCCCCCGGCACCGCCCAGCCCGGCCCGAGGGTGGGAAGGCGCCTCGCCGCCCTCACCTTAACCCACATCCCTGGGCTAGGATGTGGCCCCTTGGCTCAGAGCACCCCCGCCCCATCCTTGCCACCTCCTCAGGGAGACTTGCCCCCAAAACGCACAGAGGTACACTCACACTCCGGGAGCGGACCTCAGGGCAGCGAGGACCCAGGGAGCACCCATACCGTGAAATGTCCGGAATTGACCTGCACTCCCGCTCCTGCCCCTCCCTGCCTCTGCAGCCCGTTTGATCTCAGAGCATCACCACAAAACCCCGACAAAGCCGGGACCAAACTTTTTTAGCAACAACTTTTCATTTTGTGAAAGTGGTTTAGCTCCACATCCTCAGGTGAGGAACTGCTTTTGTGCGGGAACTTGCTGCTGGAACCCCTTTGGACGGCAGCTCGTGGTTGCTGAAGATCCAAGGATTCAGTAGGGTTTTGGAATTCTGCAGAGTATTTAGTATGATGCAGCACACCCTAAGGGTTGAGGAGGTGTAGGGCCCACTGCCCTGGGCACTGTGCAGGCAGCAAACGGGAAGGGAAACACGGGCTATGGGAAGGAAGAGGAGGGAAAGGCTGAGAATTGATCAGGGTAAAGTGGCCAGGTGGGTGTGAGTTATCATTGTGTTCTGCCAATTTTTAGATTTAGGGTCTTCCTTCTGTTATTTTGAGTCTAGGGAGTAGCATGTTTTCCTACAGCAACAGCCTACGGCGTGTCATGGATGCCCATCTTCACATCCTTCTCCCTGTTTGGCACGACTGTCAAAAGCTGAGGCAGTCCCTCCTTTCTTCTCCTTTTCCTCCTCCACTGGAGGTCCAGTCGTATCAGTTTGTTGAATCTATTCTCTTCTAATTTCTCTGCCTGAAACATTCTTATTCTCTCTCTCAATAGTAGTAAAGTTGATAAAACATCCTTCAAAGTGCAAGATGGATCTCCCCTTTTCTCTTTCCCTGGTTTGTATTGATTAAACTGGACTTTTTAAGTTTGCCAAACAGAAGAAGCCCAACATGCAAGGAACAACTCGGAGCCTGCATTATCCATCTCAGCTACTGCTAAGCTACAGGGGATGACTATTAAGTATCAGCACTGCAAGTCACTGTGAGTTGATGAATCTGCGCCAAGAGCTGCTGGCACGCTGCAGAAAATACTCTTTAGGAAGAGTTTGCCAAAGACAAGAAAGACCCCCGCTAGAGCTCTTCACAAAACAACGCGGCTTACAGCAGAGCTGCTGGCAGACCTTAACACAGCCAAATGACAATGATGGCACAAATGAGGGAGACAGAAGGTTGGGTACAAAAGACAGGGGGTCACCACATATCTATCTATCTAATTGCATGCTAAATATTAATTCTAGAATTAAAAAAAAAAAAAGTAAATCCAGTCAGAGCATAGCAGAGCTTATTTTTTTTGTTTGTTTTACCTTATAGTGAATTTGCTTGCTCTGAAGTGGAAAGAGTAACATTAGAAAAGTGAAAGATCTGCCACATGCTGGATCTCATAGCATAGGAGAAATTCTGCTCATTTTTCCTGGTATAAAAGAATGCTCACATCCTTTTAATCAAACGGAGTATCAATATTCATAACAATTCAAACAACTATAGTTTAAAAAACCCCTAAGATGCTGGAAAGCAATTCATATTACAAAATCTTTTAGAAGAATAAGAATGCTTTTTAACTTAAGGTGCATTTAGAGAAGAGAGTTGAGCAACATAAAAGTTGCTCAAAGAAATGGTCATTGTTTTGACAGCAAGAAATGCAATGCTGTTGCTATTCTGCCTATTCATTTTTCTTACAAAATAAATTCATAACACTTTCTCCCAGGTGGAGGCACAGGAAGAGATAGAAAAATTATAGGGAAGACATACTTACTATCTGGTCTTCACTGATACAAGGCACCTGAGTACTGATATCATTTCGTGTGTTCCTGGGGCTTTTAATCTTCAATGCAGTTTTACACACAGACTTATAAATATATCCCTCTCTAGGCTGAAGGTGAAGAATAACATTTCCAGAAGGGGCAATTGAGATGATTGGATGATATCTTAAAATACTTGCAGGAAAACTCAACAGGATGTATCTTAGTACTGTGCAGATATCCATGCCCTCTAGATTACTTTTCCTTGTTAGGGTTACAGTGGTATTTTACTAACAGAGATGAGCCATTTTTGTAGATGGATATCACCTGTATCTTTAGGACAGAACCTTAGCCAGTTCACTGTTCTAGTGCTTGTAAAGTATTTTACTGTGTGGTTTTTGTTCTTTTTCTTTTTTTTTTTTTTAACTCTACTTGAAGTGTATTTAATTTTAGCTAGCTTAATGCCGTTTGGAGCCTAACTTTTGCAATAGTATTTACAAAGTAGGGCTGTTTGCAGTCGCAATAGTTCTATATGTATAATGAGGGGAATGAAACACAAGAATATTAAACTCTTGCATTGCAGTAATAAATCAGTATTAAATCAGCATTACATTTTGTAACATTTTAACAGCAAGTTATCCTGCCTGTTTTGAGATTTTGTCCCTGTTTCTCCCAGTTTGGCTTAAGGACAATATGTTTGAAATCCACAGCTGGAATGCCTTCTGGCAATAATTTTTAAGGAGCGTCTACTTCTTTGGGGGAGGGTGACAAAACCCCCAAAAAAGAACATCTAAAAAAATGTGTACTATGTGCGATATGACCAGAGGCAGCTTCTGACTCAGCAGTGACATGTGCGTCTTTCCTAGAGTAGAGGATTTTTTCCAGTAACTTGGTGTACTGAAGGAATTCATTGTGGAACATTGAACATTCATGTGGAGCAGAAGAGCCTTTGATGGTGTCCCCTCTTTTTTGACGTTTGTTCTCACACCAAACAGCATTCATCCCACCAAACACTTTTGGCCTATTTGTTCCTTGGAAGCAGAGCAAAGTATCCTTAACTATCACTAAAACCTTGAATAAAGAATGCTTCAGCTGAAGGAATGAAACATATTCTTATCACATCACATTAAAACAAAAGAGAGGGGTAAACTGTGATAAAATTGAAGGAACAATATTTAATACTAATATTAATTATCATTGCTACTATTATTATTATGATTGTGGTGCAGCTTCTAGGCTGTACCAACACCAGGCCCTGTTTTCCCACAGAACAAAAATATAGGCAATTTCTGCCCAGAGGAGTTTTTCTTAGAATTAAATGTTTTTCCTGAGGGCCTGAAATGCCATTAGTTACACATTTGGGTAGTGGTGAGTGCAGTGGGACCTAATTTAATTGCAGCCTTTTAGATATGTGTAATATAAATTTTAAATAATGTAATAATTTTAGTAATAACTTTGACAATAGACAGTGCAAAACCATTTTTCTGTGTCTATAGGCTAGCAGTCCTTTTGGAAATTAGAGACTTTGGAACCTGGAAAATGAACTGAAATGATAATTGAAGGAAGCAATAAAACATGAGTATGCTAAAATAGGGGATGAACTCCTAGGTTCTGTCTTTGTAAAAGGAAAATATCCTTTCCCCAGAGCATTTTTTTTTCTTTACCTTGGGCAGAAACGTGTATTTTAAACCACTGCGTGAGATTTCTGGATGTCCTGAGGAGACAAAGCTACAGCAGTACAAAAGGACTGGAATGCCAGAAGGACACAGGTCCTCCCCAGCTTTGCCAGCTGCTTCTTACAGGCAGCTACCACAGCAGCCTGAGTGGCTAGGAGTGGCTTTTAGGGGTGAGGGACACAAAAAGTAGGGAAGGAGAGCTTGAGTAGGAGAAATGTAGATACCGGGTCCATGGTATCTGGGGCATGCTCAGATTCACAATCTTCCTATTTCTAGGTCTACTTTTTTACCCCATTGGGAAGATGTTGGCATAAGGAAAATTAAGTATGTATACATATGTCCAGACTTGCGGCTGATCACTTAACAAAATAATTGTCAGAGGTTTATAAGGGGTCCTATAAAAACTTGTGGTGGGAGACAAAGTATTGCTGGGCGTTCAAAACTGTCAGAAAGCAAATACTACTACTATGTGGTTGCCTTTCAACATGACCTGGCTCATGCCCGCCCTTCACCGTGTAGTGCCTTGCTGAGATACCACAGGCACTGAAAACAAAACAGTGAGTTAGTCTGCTGAGAAACAGGCAATATACAAGTTGAAGTGCAGTGCTGTACCATTATTGACATGCTTGACTATGCTTGTATTCACTGTGTGGGGCAGCGTAGATGCATCCCAAGTGCATATATACACTTAGAGGCCTCCCATGACAACATTGCATCTCGAGGAAACACATGAGTTAAAAGGGCATGTTAAAAATATTATTGATCTGGAAAGAGATGAAATGATGTGGCAACCTACAGAACGAATACCGTTATTTAATTTTGCTTACTGTCAAAGAGCCTCAGAGATAGTGAAGAGAAGCCTATCCTAAGAACCTGAATAAACATCATAGTGGCCGGAGCGATTAATGCTGGGAAAGCACTACATTAGATGGCATTTTTTGGGTTACTCACACAAACTACTGGGTCCTTAATTGAGTGCAACTCCTCAGGAAAAAAATCCTGGCATTATTGTGAAAAGCTCAGTGAACATTGGTGTTGAACGAAATGCTAGTGTGAAAGAAAAAAATCAAACTGGAAACATTGTAATTTCCACAGGTTGGTTCTTTGCTACGTCTTGAGTTCTTTGTTCAGTTTTGGGAATTCAGCTGCAAAGTAGATATAGCAGACACAGAGATTGTTGGGAGACAGGCAAGGCAAATGATAGACATTGAGGGAAAAATTTTGTATCTCAATGGCATGAAGAAAGGACATGAAAGAGCTTTATAAAAAATAATGAATGGTACAAAGATGATAAAT